GTTCTTCCTCCAGTCAAGCTTTTAACCGACCTTTGCTAGAAAATTTCCACCTCGGTCTCCTGGAGTTTAAACCAAGGCCATTAAACATCTCTCGTATATGTTGGAGGGTTTTTTTTTTTTAATGCTCTGGAATTTCTCAGCCCTGGAAATATATACAAAAATAATTTCACAAAGTACTTGGTGTGATTTCTAACAAAAAACATTCTCAAATGCAGATTATTCAAAGACTTGGTGCAGTGAGCGGTGAGCAAACCATGCTCTTATACTGTCCCCTTCTGGTTGATGGCCAAAAGGGACAGACTGTATGGTTTAAGAAACTAGCTCAATTTCATTTTAAATAAAATTCCTCTCTTTTGTAATCACCTTGCCCTAGCCTTGTTGATAGGCAGCTGTAGGTAATTTACTTGCTAGAAATAGTTATATCAGCTGAATAACTCATTAATGTTAAAGTGAAGACAGCTTTTGTGCTTTGGAAGAGTAATAAGTAGGGAAAAATTACTCAGCTGTCTTAGCATCAGGCAGAAGCACTGAAGCAGAGAAGAAACAGAACTTGCTTCTTGGTTGCTGAGAATGGATGGTATGAAATTTCTTCAGATGCCAAGTTTAGCCAAATCACAGGACGATTCCATTAAACATAAGGTAAGCAGCAGGAATATCCACCTGAGCTTTCTTTTTTGATGGGACAGAGGCAAGGAAAGGCCAATTTCTACAATAATGTGGCTAAATAGAGATCAATTTGAGGAATGAATCCTGGCCTCTGAATATCTTCCTAAAACATGAAAAGAAGACTTGAGAGAGGATTTAGGCAGGTATAATTCCTCTTATGCAGATACAGTCTGTTAGTTATGATAAGCTATGCCATAGTGACAAACAACCATAAAATCTCAGAAAGTTTATTTCTCACTCACATAAAATCCACAGGGCTAAGGCGCATTGTCCTTATCACACTGTATAGTAATTGCCCATTTATTTACTTACCATAGCAGACTGCACGGACAGGCCACTCAAGATAGCTATTCCTCTTGCTCTCTGTACATTCTGTACATTCCCTGCTTAACCTACACCTACTCACATGACTATCCAATCCTCTTTATTATAGGGCTTAATCAGTAACTCCCTACATGCTTGCCCCCTGCCCCAGCTTCTGGTTTCCCTGGTAACTGACAAGCCAAACTGACATCAATTCCCCCTATAACTAGTAGCCTCCTTCTCACCCCCCTTCCCCCATCCCCAGTAGCGAAGACTGTTGCCATGTCCTGTCCACCAGCTGCTGTATACAGTGGGTTGTCACTCCAGGACTTTGCTTCAGACTTGTAAGATTCCCTATACAGTAAACAACTGATGTCTTTGTCACTGTCTCTGGGCTCTTTCCTTAGTCTCTCAGCTGAGCAATTACAAGGCTTGCAGGCCCGCGGGATGCAGCCCAACAAGACCATGAACTATCTTCAGGGAGGAACTATGTCTATTCAGGTCTATGCTATATCCCCAATACTTAGCACAATACCTGACATGTAGGTACTCAAGGAATATTTGTTGAATAATGAAAGAATGAAGGGAGAGATGAATGAATGAATCAAACTAAATACCTCTGGGCATCATTTCCAGGAGCTCTGACTTCTCTTTTCGCCCTCTCCATACTTTAGGTACAGACCTAAAGCAAATGCCCATTTTACATTGGGGTAGCATTACTGTGTTCCCCTAGGCCTCTGTCATGGTATCATTCCCATGTAATTGTGCGATGTCTTTTAAAGGTCTTCTTGGTGGGCCCTTGACACACTGGGGATGTGAGTCAACAAGGGTGGGAAGTAAATATTCTTAGCAACCAATCTTTGTAATGCTTGCATTAAGGAGAGGGTGATGGATAGAGCACACAGCCCACTGGAGCCCTTACAGATGGGCTGCTTGGGGAGCCAGTTCACAAAATGGTGCCAGCACAAAGCACTAAAAATTAAAAAGACAGGGTTTCCCTGGTGTCGCAGTGGTGGAGAGTACGCCTGCCGATGCAGGGGACGCGGGTTCGTGCCCCGGTCCGGGAGGATCCCACATGCCGCGAAGCGGCTGGGCCCATGAGCCATGGCCGCTGAGCCTGCGCATCCGGAGCCTGTGTTCCGCAACGGGAGAGGCCACAGCAGTGAGAGGCCCGCGTACGGAAAAAAAAACAAAAAAAAAACAATGCAAGACCCAATGAGATCACAGGGAGAAAGAAAAGGGGGGAAATATCCTAGATAGGAGGAAGATAGGAGAAGAAAATGGCACCTTAAGACGTGATTCTCATCAAAACAAAACATATCCATACGTCTTACCAGCAGTGTAGAAGACCCCAGGAGATTCTTTTCCTTTTGCTTTTCTCTTTTCTTTCCATAGCGTTTCACCATTTTTCACTGACCAAATACTAACTGAAGTAATACTGTGACCAACTATCTTGAATCCCCATCCCTAAAGATCTTACCATTTCTACCTGTTTTTTAGCAAAGACCCTTTTAACCATTACACATTGATGGATACCAAGCTGGCAGCTTTGGCTCTCTAAGTTTCTCAATTCTTTATGTATTTATTGGAGAATTTATAGATTATTATTTTGCACCTAAGGCAAGATAGGGAGTGTGTTTGAAATCACAAAAGGTGCTGGGACATAAAATCTCTGAACCATAAATCCTGCAGTTTAACAAGAATTGCACCCAGGGGTACTGGGTCTGTCTGTATATGAGGTTTTGGATAAAGATCCAGATCTATCGATCATAGCCCCGTTCTTTGTACTTAGAGATTGAGGATCAACTTACAATTTGTGCTGAAATACAGAGCTATTAGCCCAAATTCCTTTCTCCTTCCTGGCCCCCCATGTGCCTGATAGTGCGTCTCCCAGAGAAGGTGCAGTTCCCCACCACCACCCTGTGGTTAGAGGGAGAACTGCACTGTCATTGGGGCTTATATTTGCGTGACCTTTTGCATACTCACATTAGGCAATGATGACTATTTCTGGACTGCAAAATACTAACTGAAGAACAGATAGATTATATAGTGTGGCTTCTAAGTGGTATGTTGCTATGGTTTCCCACTGAAAGAACAGAATTCTCACCATTAGGTTATCTGAAATCTGCAGGATTGCTCCAAAATGTTTCCGCAGAGCAATGGAATGTCCTTTGAACACAACTCCATCTGTATGATCAAATGCAGTCTCAGACTAGCAGGGAACACGATGTGTTCTTTGAAGAATGTCTTCATGGAATGCAGTAGGATTTGCAGGACATGTATAAGGCTAAAACAGGCATTGACCTCTGTTGATAAGGCACCTTTCCTGTATTTATTAACTATATCCCTTATGCCAAAAAGTTATTCAATATGAACCACCTAGGCATGCAAATGGGATGCTTTAAACTCTTCAAAAGCTTCCCACTGCTCTTAAGATAAAATCCAAATCCTTTCTCATGGCCTGTGTTCCTTGTATGGTCAAACTCCGGACTACTTCTCTATCCTCACCTTACCCCACTCTTTCCCCCCAATTCACAATCTGCTACACTCACCTTTTTTTACATCCTTCAAAGCGTCCTCTAAAATGCCAAGCTTTTCCCTGCAGTAGGGTCTATACACACACTATTTCTCTTGCTTGGAATGCTTTTCCCCCATTCCTGGCCTGCCTTAATTCTTACAAATCCTCCAGTTCTCAAATTAATACCACATCCTGAGATACCCATCACCCCAATTTATATTAAGTTCCCATTTATACTCCCTGAGAGGACTCTGCACTATTTCACAGCACACATCAAAATTTGAAATTAATTGTATATTCCTGTGATTGTTTAATATATATCCCCTCCACTAAAATAAAGTCTTGAAGTCATGGATTATGTCTTTTTGGTCTACTATATCCCCAGCACTTATTACAGAACTTGGCATATGGTAGGCATTCAATACTGAATGAATGAATCAGCCCACTGACTTCAATCCCCATTTACTTAGTAATTAGGAGGGAATTCAATGATCCATTGAATGAGTATTAAAACTGGGGAAAATGCAAAGAAATCTTGCCCTCAAGTAGCTTATAAATACAGTAAGGGGAAATACAACAGGGGAGACAAATAGGCATATATAAATGAAACAGCAATTTACATGGGACGTTTCTTGTCTCCTGGAACCCTAATGACAATCACGGTCAATTAATGCCCATACATTGCACACCTCTGAAGGAATTGCTATCCAGTCCAGTAGGAGTCCTTAGGTCATCACGTAACCCCACCCAGGATAAAAGAAGCCCAGAGATTCAATAAGGAAGAGAGAGTATATTTTGAAGGGTGTTTGTGGAAACAGAGTGCTCTGAAACATACGCCCTCTCTCTCCTCAAGCTCCGCGAAGGGTCAGCAGGAGAATCCTTCAGGGAGATTGGGGGGAAATAAATCCAGAGTGTTGGGGTGGGAAGGGCAGGTGGGCACACAGAATGGTTGGTGAGCCAGAGCCATCTTGAGAGAACTCCTGCTTCACGATAAAGGGAACACCAGGAGCGCACTGCCAGTGGGCAGAAGTCAAGGGGATGTCAGTATCCTAAGAGGGCAGCACTTGTCCCTCATGGGGTGCCCAAAGAGTCCTTACAAGTGCCCCATGGTAGGAAGAGCCAGCAGGTTACCCTTGTCATGAAACAAAGCACCAGAAATCAAATTGACCAGCATCAGAGAAGTAACACTTGGCCCTTTCTCTGTAAGTTCAGCGCGTGCGTGCACGTTTGCACACACACACACACACACACACATCCACATACACTCGTACACGCTCTGTGCTCAACTCTAGAAGAGCCATAAGCAGCAGAGTGAATGGAAGGACCAGGTGGAGCAAGCACAACCAAAGAATGAACTATGTTGCCCTTTCCCAGTGGTAGACTAGGGATTCAGCGGTCAGGCCTGCAGGGAAGAGGTTGCTTAGACAGAAACCCTGACTTAGATGAGTGATTAACGTTTCGATTTGGGTTGCACACAAATTCATAATATCTGATAATGAGACTGTTCAAATACCTGAAAGTGTCTGAGATTTGGCGAAGAAATCCTCTCAATTGGGGAAGGTGATCCAAAGAGTCTAGTTGAAGGCAGTGCTTGGAAAATAATGAAGCTGGTTCCTGATTGTACCTTCTCAAGTCCAGTCTCTCCAACAAACCATCTACATAAAACAAAAAACATTAAGTTCAATGAGAAGAGGAAAAATAAAGTACAATAAGATATCTGAGTTGTTGTAATTAGCTCAAACCCTTCTCTGCTTAGAAAAATAACTTACAACCAGTGTTCTAGGAATATTAGGAATAAAAGAATCATACTTGTACTATTACATATGCAAAATATATTCAAATTTTCCCTTCATTCAGAAAAAATTATTCATGAAAAAGATAAATTTCTCATCAACTCTCAGGAAAATTGTGCATCCTGCAACTGTGGATAATTCGATAATTTTTGTGAATATACAATGACAGTATATCACATCTGAACATGTTGCCCTATGCAAAGAACTTCAAAGAACAAATGCCTCTCACTCATCACCACCCTAGGTGGTTGGTAGAGAAAATATCCTCCCATTTTAGCAGCAAAGAATGTCATACCAAAACAGGGGTCTGCAAATTATGACCCACCAGGTAAATTCATCCCACCACCTGTTTTGGTATGGCCCACGGGCTAAGAATGGTTTTTACATTTTTAATTCATTGAAAAAAAATCAAAGAAGAATAATATATATTTCACAACACATGAAAATAATATGAAATTCAAATTTCACTATTCATAAATAAAGTTTTATTGAAACATAGCCAATGCTCATTCATTTACATGTTGCTTATAGCTGCTTCCATGCTACAGTAACAGAAATGAATAGTTGTGGCAGAGATTGTATGGCTGGCAAAGCTTAAAATATTTACTATTTTCCCATTAAGATAAAAGTGTGCTGATCCCTGCTCTAAAAGGTTAAATGGCATCTAATTCCACATGCTTAGTTAGCTGAAAAAAAGTCATAAGACCACTGATTCAGAACATAATCATTTCATCATATTTCCTATATAATAACAATAAATATTGGTAGTCTTTATATGTTTTTATTTTCCCCATCTATTGGGCCACAACATTTTGGGGGGAAATAAAATCTCATAAAACTCATAAAACTTGGAATGCCCTTCCCCCATTCTTGGCCTGCTTTACTTAACTCTTACAAATCCTCCAGGTCTCAGATTAAATATTGCCTCCTGAGATACCCATCAGCCCCTGACAGGACCCTGCACTTCCAGCTTATAGCATTCATCAGTGGAGTGCTGTGAACTGGGCAGGACCTTAGCAATCATATAATCCAGGAGTCAGCAAACTTTCTGTAAAGGGACAAATACAGTTGTCCCTTGGTATCCATGGGGGATTGATTCCAGGAACCTCTGCAATACCAAAATCTGCTTATGCTCAAGTCCCTTACATAAAATGGTGTAGTATTTGTAAATAACCTACACACATCCTCCCAAATACTTTAATCATCTCTAGATTACTTATAATACCTAATACAATGTAAATGCTATGTAAATAGTTGCCAGTATGCAGCAAATTCAAGTTTTGCTTTTTGGAACTTTCTGGAATTTTTTTTAAAAATATTTTCAATCTGTGGTTGGTTGAATTCATGAATGCAGAACCCATGGATATGAAGAGCTGACTACAGTAAACATTTTAGGCTTTTCAGACCATATAGTCTCTACAGCAACTACTCAGTTCTGCCACTGTAGCAAAAAAGCAGCTATTACAGACAATACCTAAATGAATGGGTATGGCTGTATTCCAATAAAACTTTACTTACAAAAAAAAGGAGCTGGCTAGATTTGGCCAGTGAACTGTAGTTTGCCAACACCTGATATAGTCCATACCCTCATCTTAGTGTCATTGGATTTCCCTCCACCCTGGAACTTATTACAGAACCTGACTTACAGCAGACATCTGATAAATTTTGATGAATAAATGAATAACGGCAAGCAAGAAGGAAAGAAGGGAACAATGCAAGGATCACAAGCAAATGTACTCACAGTCCTTGTCTTGAAAGTATTCAAAATATAATTAAGGAGACAAGCTATATACATGTGAAAATGCCTTGTATTACAAAGCAGGATGGTGAGTGACTTAGATATCAAGGACCATCTAAACTCAGAAGAAGACTTCATAGGTAAGGTCAGATTTGAGCTGATTATTGACATTTGTTGCTTGTTTGGATGTTTATTGTTGTTTTGGGGAGGGGAGGTTAGCATTAATCAAATTTGTACAAAGAAAATCACATGTGCAAAAACTCACTATTATAAAAACAAAACATAGATCGTTTTATAGAGCAAGAAATCCTTGAGAGATGCATATAAGCATTACCTAGTCATTTTTATTTTATTTATTTATTTATTTATTTTACTTTTGACTGCACCGCACCGCTTGTGGGATCTTAGTTCCCCAACCAGGGAGTGAACCTGTACCCTCGGCAGTGAAAGTGAGGAGTCTTAACCACTGGACCGCCGGGTCCTACCTAGTCATTTTAATTCTAAGATTTGAGTATGTTAGGTTTTCTTAATACATGGAATATTTTTGTTTGAAGCAACAGAATCCCAAAGTAGTACTTCCCTTAGGCCAGTGGTTTTCAATTTTTAGGTGCCCAAGAATCATCTAGAGAGATTTTAGGTATGCAGATTCCTGAGCCCTGCCTTAGACCTTCTGAACCAAAACCTCTAGGGTAGAACCAAAGGAATTTGAATCTTAAAACTTTCGCCCTCATGTAATTCCTCTGCAATTAGTCTGTGGAGGCTTTTGATGTCATGGAAATTGAACTTCTGTAGCTAATGGTAAAGATGTTATGACTCACGGGAAAGACTGTTCAATAGAGAGTAAATAAATGTCAGTACGTCAAACACTATTGTTTTCTTGCTAATTTTTTCCAAGTGTATATTTTTTCTAGATGCTGATCACCTTACAAGATTTCAAGTTTTTAACTCAGAGATTGTGTTGTTTTATTTTGAAGCCATTTTTATAATCTTGAAAAATCAAACAGTTCCTTAAATATGCAGAATACCATGAATTCAGAGAGTCTCTTTATATTTGGTACCCCAAGTTGCTGACAAGGTCGACTAATGATCATTATCAATGAATTACCAATGGTTGCCAGATACCAACAGGGGGCACAGTATTTAAGAACTTAAAATTTTCATTCTCCGTACTGTCTAGCAAAATGTTCCCTATTGAAAGACATTTTCAACCATCATGTTGGCAAGCCTTGATCACTGAACTGAACTATATTATTAATACGTATGCCTGGCCAGAAGCTCATGAACAAAAAACTCTTCCGCCTTCTTTCCTAAAAAGACCCAATTCTTCATGCTTTAATGTGAAAAGACTTGGAGCCATAATGATAAAAGCTAACTGAGCATTTACTATGGACCAGATACCATAATAAGCACTTTAAATATCAGTATCCATTTGTTGTCATGACGGCCTGTGATGGAGGTTCCATTATCATCCTCATCTTACACATGAGAAAACAGGGTTAACATTCCCAGGTCACATTATATAACAGAGATGAGATCTGGACTTGAGATCATCTGACTCCAAATCCTGTGCTACATGTTTTCACCAAAGTTATGAGATCCTGGTGAACTGGAATGAGCACCGGGCTGAGATCCAAGAGATAAATGTTCTTGTCTCAGCTGTGACATGAAGTAACTGGGTAGATCTAACCGTGATATTTCCCCTCTTTGGGTTTCCAATTCCTCCTCTACAAAGAGTTGTAATTGGACTACTAGATGAATAATAAAATTGCTTCCAAGACTAATATATCATGATATAAGAGCAGCCACTTTGCACAAAAAGAGGACTAGAAAGACAATGGGAGCCATCTGGATGTGAAAATGATGAATGGCAAAAGCTGTTGGAGGGGATAGTCTCAGATTAGCATTCCCTGCCACTGGGTCCACACACCACATTGCCAGTCTCCTGCAAATTGCCCGCAGCTGTGCTGATCTAGAGGCCATTTAGAGTGCAGAACCCTTAACAAATTGTTCAAGGTATTTAGTCTTGGGTTTCCCAGGAGCCCATCTAGCCCCATAAAATTAAATGTCTTGTGATTTGCCAACTTTGCTGTTAGAAGAGCAACAAAGTTTTTTATTGTTGTTGTTTGAACTCAATTATCACTTCGTTCTGGACAGAAAGGATGCTTTTGCAAATTCTTTCTTCAGTAGCTGACTGTGGAGGATTTTCACATCAGTCAAAAAAAAATGAAAACCATCCAAAGAAACAACCATTGTCGATGATGGGAGAAAAGCTATGGTATTCTCGTAATCTACGTGTCTGCTTCCAATTTATAGGGTCATGCTTCCATTACTCCTGCCCCCAATCCATAATGCTCTTCCCAATGCTTCTACAGATTATAGGAAATTATATTCTCATATTACTACTTATTCTTATTTCGAGATCCTACAGAAGCCTTATTCTTACTCATTCTAGCTTCCTATAGCTATTTTTTTCTCTGTCCAATGTTAACTGAATATCTCCCTAAGTATGTCTCCCACAGGGTCGTGTTGGACATAACAACGGAGGGTTCCGTCATGGCAGAGCAAACAGTTATAAATCTAACATTACACATCACTGTTCTTGAATTTCTCCCAGCCATCTTCACCACTGGAAATTTTGCAATGGCCATATTTTGCACTGGAGTCCTGGCCCTTTCATCATGTTGCTTGACCCTCTCCCCATCTCCCTGGTTCCTTAATCCCTTAAGATACCCTCTCAAAAATCATATTCCCATGATGTTTTTATGCATAAAAAGTAGTGTTTGATACTGCCCTCTCCTTCCAGACGATGCCCAGAGCCTATTTCTTCATACTAGCAAAGAACTCTGCCACTAGTGTGATTTATCAAAAAATAACTTGGAGCTCCATCTGCTGTTTCCCAATCTTACTACAAATCTACTACTACTCAAATATAAGTGAGGGTCTATATGACCCAGTCTCACAACATTCAAAGAAGAAAAAAAGTAATTCTGATTCTGATTCTTCAAGTTATTTTTTAAAATAAACCTACTGCACCACATCTTAAAATTCTTCTCACATTTCTCTCCACCCCCAACTTTCATGGTAACTGCCCCAAATTGTTCTCCTCATTCTTCATTCTTCATTT